GTTTTTCCTTGGTTGCACTTTCCTATCATCCTGTGTTTGGTGGGGGGGGATTCTTTTGGATATGCTTGAAAAATCATATATCAAAACCCAACAACAATATTATGATTTAAACACGAAATGCAAGGACACTTGCAAAATCAGCCTCTTTCTCATTGGTGCCCTCCAAACATTTTAGAAAATCCCTCCCAAGCTCATAAATAATGAATTAATTTACTCTCTTTGATTCCACTTCTCGGGCAGTTTTTGCCTCCCTGTGTAGCTCACAAAAAAAAAACTAAAAAGAGAATCGGGCTCTTCTGCCAGGTTTACAGACTAGAAAGATGTGATACACATGAGCAAGCAAGCAGAGGGGAAAGAAAGAAGGAGAAAATTGGTTTTTGAAGGCTAGATCACAGCGGTGCATGATAAGCAGATGCTTACATGCAGCGTTGTGTGTGTGTGTGTGTGTGTGTGTTTTCTATTCTGGTGTTCTTACTTAAATAGCTCTTGGTAGTTCTTGCTACTTTGGCTGACAGATGGGTCAAGAGAACACCCTTGCCTTTCTTGCTCCATTTATATATGTAAGGGGAAACAGAAAAGAAGGAGTGCCAGATTGAGCATGTCCAGATGGGGGAAGTTGGAGCAGTCTGGTTCACACTTAAAAGGTTCTTACCTTTAGCACCATCTATTTTATCTCTTACTTGAGAGATCCTTCTGTTCACACTGACTGACTTTTTTTTCTCCTGTGAGAAGTGTCCAGACAGATCTTTGGATCACCCCAATTTGTCCCCATTTTGATTACCGACACCCCATTTTCTGCTCTCTTCCCCACCCTTTCCTACAGCTATCATTCAGCAGGCCAGGGTGACTTCCCACGACCCCGTTAAATAAAGTGACATAGTGAAAGAGCGATGCATCTCTTTAGCACGATACACATAATACTGCGGATGCATATCATTTATCTAGAATACTGCTGCATCAATAGAAAATATAAAGTGTGCTGCTTATATACCACCCCAGTTCTTTCTGGGCAATATGCAATTTAATTATGAAGGCTACACAAGCTGGGCAATTTAATTATGAAGGCTACACATTGCTCCTCACCAGCAAGCTGGATTGTTGTTGTTTAGTTGTTAAGTTGTGTCCGACTCTTCGTGACCCCATGGACCGGAGCATGCCAGGCCCTCCTGTCTTCCACTGCCTCCCAGAGTTGGGACAAATTCATGTTGGTCGCTTCGATGACACTGTCCAACCATCTCGTCCTCTGTTGTCCCCTTCTCTCCTCTTGCCTTCACTCTTTCCCAACGTCAGGGTCTTTCCCGGGGAGTCTTCTCTTTTCAGGAGATGGCCAAAGTCTTGGAGCCTCAACTTCAGGATCTGTCCTTCCAGTGAGCACTCAGGGTTGATTTCCTTCAAAATGGATAGGTTTCTTCTCCTTGCAAGTCCAGGGGACTCTCAACAGTCTGCTCCAGCAGCACAATTCAAAAGCATCAATTCTTTGGCAGTCAGCCTTCTTTATGGTCTAGTTCTGATGCTGGGTACTCAATTTATTGACTTTAGAAGGATGGTAGGTTGAGTCAACCATGAGCCAGCTACTCGAGCCCAGGATGAAACTCAGGACATGAGCAGAGCCTTCACAGTTAGCCACTATGCATGAGGCATTTAAAATGGTAAATGGGAAGCGTAGAATAAATTAAAATGGGGGGGGGTGTAGAGGAAGGGGGTTCTCTGTTGTCCCTTTCAGTGCTACAGCCTAAGTTGCGTTGCCTCTGTCCACCTGCAACAAGCATGTCCTAATGTGGTCCTGTTTGAATAAATAAAGACCTTTGGAAAGCCGAGAAGGTGGGGGAATGAAGGTCACAGAGGAGGTTGTATCCTGCTCTTTCCATCTCTTTCCATCTAGAGATAGAGAGATAACCTTGTGATGGAACAGCTAGCTACGTGACTGGGAGAGGTCGCGTTGGGAATGAGATAAAGCTGCACACAGTTATAGGAAGTTGTCAAGATTCTGGGTCTGAAGCTAAAGCTAAGGACAGAGAGAACTCAGCACCCCCTTTTAAACGTCCACCCCAGAGATCTCTTTTCTTTTTTAACTATTCAGTAGAAACTGAATAGTTTGTTGCCCATGCCTTCTTTAGGTACTACAGGCATTCTGTAGACACTCTAGGGAGACAAAATGCTATGGTAGAGTGGGCCGAAAGCAGTGATACACTTTGGATTTAGATTTGAACCAAGAGCACTCTGCCTCCCACACCACAGTGGCCAGTTCAAAAAGGGAATTCAGTTTTTATTAGAAATAAAGCCGAAGATATTGTCCAAACAGAAAAAGCATTGTCTAAGAAACAAAGCAGTAAGAATGATACATTTTGTTTCATTTATTCCTTAGCAAGGTACAGCTTGGTAAAATAAATCTACAAACATCTATCCTTAATGGTTGTTGTGGGTTTTTCGGGCTCTTTGGCCGTGTTCTGAAGGTTGTTCTTCCTAACGTTTTGCCCGTCTCTGTGGCCGGCATCTTCAGAGGACAGCAACCTGTGCTCTGGTGTAGTTTGCTTGGGAGTGGAGTATTTATGCCTGTGGTGTCTGGACAACACCAGCAATCACTACGTCAGACTGCACAGGGAAGCCATTGAAATCCACAAGCACCAGCAGAACTTCAACGAAAAAGAGGAAAGTTTGAAACTCAACAAAACTTGGCTTCCAGCTCTCAAAAATACAGCATGCAAAAGGTCAACGAACTCTACCCAGCCACAAAGCCCGGGGATCACTACACACAAAAGACCAGCTAATGACACCCATCAGGCACAGTGACAGATAATCTCTGCTTCTTATCACAACAATACAACCACAAAAAGACACAGTAATCACCCATCTCCTGAAAAGGAGCACACTTTTTGAACTTCTCTCCCAAGAGAATACCCATCCTCACACACAAAGAATGTCTATTTTCATCCTTGTGCATAAGTTCTGGAACCACAGCAAGCACAAGTCACTGAGGACCGAAACAGACATTATAGATAGCCCTTCGTTAGGAGAGGGTTTCCCGAAGTATTGAAAGCATGTAACTATCACAGTAGGTGCTCCTCCCAGGGTTTGCAGATGAATTTGCTTTGTTGTGCGATTGCTCTTCAGGATGCCCACTTGGTTTTCCTTTGAAGTCTGCTTTCTCACACATGAAAGTCTGCTGGAATCACCTCTTTCCAACACTAATGTGGTTCTGATGTGCGTTTGCCCTCAAACGCCATGTGTTGTCAGTTTGGGTGAGCCTGTGAAGCTACCCTCTGCCCGACGGGATGTGTAGCTATAAGAGAGAAAGGCCTTCACCTTAAAAATCTCCGAGGATGAAGATTGCACAGCTCACGATCAAGGCATGCAAGAGCCGGAGAACGGTAAACCTCAAACAGTTTTGCAAAGAAAAGAAAACTCAGAAGAACCAAACGGTTCACCTGACAACCTCCCCCCCCACCCCATCCCAATAGCAAAGGGAGCTGTCTATTGATTTGCAGCAATGCTAAAAATAACTAAACTCCACATCCAGAGCTGTGGGGGGAGGTTTAAAAAAATACATATATCCTATTGCTAGGAGACCATGATTACTGGGAGGCAGGCATTGCTAGGCGACACTCGTTGCCGTGGTGACAGCTGGGCGCCTGAGTCATCAGCAGTGCGGTCTATCTTGGGTAGGAGCTGCCCAAATGGGTTTGGAGTCATGTGGAGAGATTTCGCACCCTGGCGCTGTTTTTGTTTTGTTTCCGGTGGAATGGGAGTGGGTAGCGTTGGAGGTTTGGGCTCCAGAGGGCTCGCACCTTTTAATTCAATATAGAGGAGGCCGTTCTTGTCATTTTAAATCGCTGCAGAGAGCAACCAAGAATAACCTGGTTCTCTTTTCTGAGCATCCTGAAAATTGATTTTTACTGCAAGGTGATGATGGAGACAGAGGCCAAACAAGATAAAGTGTCAGAGCTTTAAACTCAATCCTTCTGATCTTGCCTGGCCTTTAGTCCCAGTCTAGCTGAAACTCCAGACAGGACCAGTTCCGGCTGCAGGTGGAAATTCACACGACGGAGCGCACCTCTGAAAATGACTTCCTTTTTACCCCCAGTGGGCTGGTGCGCGTAACAAGAAATGATACAAGGCCGCTTACAGATACAAAACGCAAATATTATTAATTCTTTAGCCTTGTGCATAGCAATTTCTACGACTTCCGCACTGGTTTTGGAAAAACCCTTTCCACTGTAATAGAGTAGACGGAGTGTCTTATCAGGACTCAGGAGCTGTTGTTACTTTATGTACTGTCAAGTTGCCTCTGATTTGTGGTGAATCGTTGAATGAGTGACTTCCACAGTGTCCTCTCATTAACATACCTGCTCAGCTCTTGCAAATTCAAGGCCACAGCTTCCTTGATTGAGCCAAACCGCCTCAAATTTGGCCTTCCTCTTTTTCTGCTGTCTTCAGCTTTTCCTAGCATTGTTGTCGGAAGAACTGGGTTTGAATCCCTGCTCAGTCATGGAGATTCATGGCGTTTGTGTGTCTCATTGGTAAAATCAGTACTTAAATAGCTAACAAACTTCGGAGACCTTGGTAGGGTCACTGTAAGTTGGAATAGGCTTGACATCACATAAAAGAGGGGGATGGGGAGGGAGAGAGAACTAGCATTTCAGGCATAAACTGAATCAAGAATCTTGCAGCCTGATGTGCTAGAATTCTACACAGAGAACCCAGAGGTTGCTCACTTTCCTTTTTGGACTACAACTCCCAGAATCCCCCAGTCCGCATGGCTGGGAGGATTCTGAAAACTGAGGTCTAACACCCTGCCCCCAACTTTTCCACTTCATGGGAGGCTCTATCAAGGGGTTTACACTCAGTCCTATATATGTCTACATTTGATCCATTTAGATATTGTTTACATAAACTCTTGGAGAAATTGACTTTTTTTTGACTATATTGCCCAGCATTCCTTAACCAGCAAGACCACCAGACATGCCCATTGAAGGATTTTATAAATAGACAAACAAATTCACCTTTTCAAATGCTGGTACTCGCTGATGGACAACAATGGGCTTCAAGTGTCTTTCTCAGCCCTGTATGGGAATCTGGAGATCAGATATGGAATTGTCTCTATGCAAAGCATCTAGGGCCATTCCTGCAAGCAAACAGAGAGAATAAGGCCATTGCAGATTTGGGTTGTCATGACAGTTTGTCATGTGATGATTTTTGGCACATACCTGTCACCTCAGTAAGAAAAAGACCATAGGGCAAGGTTTGCCCCAGAAGCCTTGCTTGATTCCTGAATTCAGGATGAACTGTAAGATCAGGTTTCCGGGTTTCTGGGCTCAGCCTCCGATGCCTTGGGTGACTTCATCCTGACCTCATGCAGATGACTAGCAGGCAAGTAGCCTTAAGAGACATATGATGAGGCAGAAATGGACACGTCCTCCTTGCCAGCCTGAATTGGCTTCTTCCTCTCAGTTTTCTGGATAGTCTCAATCAGGTATTAAGTGAATTTGATTGGACTAGAAGGAATGCTGGTCAATTTCATGACCACACTGATTTGAGTAGAACTTGCTAGAGGAAGCCTTTGCAATACTGCTAATAATAGCATGCTGTCAAGTGGATTGACAGTTATGTTGGACCTTCCTGGGTCTTCAATGTATAAAGTATTCAGGAATGCATTCCCAGCCCCTCCTTCTATGGTGCTCTGGGCCCACCATGACACTTGTTTAATGATGCCCTGCTGCCAGGATGCACAAACTGACCAGTCACTCATGCTCTGGGTGAGCCCTTCTCCCGGAAGGCACACTGGGGTTCAAACTTCCAGCCCCTGGATCTGCAACCAGGTGCTCCATCCCACTAAGCTATACAGGCTTTGAGGTGTCCTTATTAGGAATCAAGGGAGGGAGAGAGAGAGAAAGAAATAGGTCTCTCCCACTTCTTTGCAGTTATGCTCTTCACAACTCTATTACATTTGCATAGCTGTTGCTAATTGGTGTTTTTGTTAACATTGTTGCCAGTGCTGTTTGAAATGGGAAATAATTGTACATTCACAGCAATCTCTCTTAGGATTTATCCAAAGCTAGTGAGGAAGCTTTTGGGTGGTTCCTGCTGCCTGATTCTGAAAACATCTGTAGAGGTTAACTGCATCAGCCTATTAGAGCCCGTGCTAAAGAATCCTATGTATTAATCACTTGTAGCACAGTTCATGGGTTAATGCAATGTTTGCTTGCTTGCTTCTTTGTTTTATGTCAATCCTACCTTTGCAAGGAAGCAGCGCTTATAAAATGATTTTAAAGAAAGGTTCGTGGATTACAGGCCTTAAGTGCAATTAAAATACTCAAATGAAATTAAAGACATAAGTCAAAATCCTATTGTAAAATTCCATGGATGTAACAGCAGTTGTGCAAGCAGTTTTTGCATTCCCGGGGTGCAACAGATAAACAACACAATGCTTCTCAGCAGTTGCGTGGTGTCTCTTACACAATCATGTTTGTTCATTTATTTGTTTACATACTTATTTACTCTATTTGTAAGGAACTCAGTGTAGTGTAGTGGATAGATTGGTAATCTTGGACCCAGGGAATCCTGGGTTCAAATCTCTGCCCATCTGTGGAAACTCAGTGGGACTCTGGAACTGATAAAACCACTCCTTAAATATCTCACTTACCTTGAAAGCCCTATTAGGGTAGGTATAACTCAGTTCTGACTTGACAGCAAATAACAGCAATAAGAAGCTCAAGATGGTTCACATAACATGGTTCACATAACATGGCCATTATAAGATAAAAATACAAATAACTTAAACCACATTGTAAAAGCACATAAAAATAATAAGGGCAGCAGCCCTCTCTTTCAAATCTTCTCGTTCAGCCCAGTTTTCAAAAGCTGCCTGGTGATCAGGGTCTTTGCTGGGAAACAGTAAACGGGGATGGGGCTAACTTAGCCTCCTGTGGTGGGGAGTTCCACAGTCTTTGGGAGCGGGCACTGCAAAGGCCCTTCTCACATCCTCACCACATATGCCTGTGAGGCAAGTGGGTTCTGAAGATCCTAATACGTAGGCATTCTCATGTCGTGAGATGTCATTCTGCCGAGAGTTTTCATTCTGGCTCAAAATAGGCAGATGAAATCAGTTGGACTTATGTAAGGAGTGATTTAAAAGGCCCCTTTATTTTAGTGGATCCACTATAGTTTATACTAAAAGTGTGCAGATTTGTGGTTTTGGACAAGAGCCTCCAGAATCGCCCTGGTATTACAAGCAGCGCGATCTGCACATCTTCGGATGAGTCCAGTGTCATCAGCAGAGAATCTTGAGATTTGTGAGTTGCTTGCCCAGAGAAACATAGAAACCATGCTACTACCCAGGGATTTTGGGATGTATAATAAAAAAAACACCATGAATGATTTTCATCTCTGAATCTGCAACACTTCCCAGACGTTCCCTGGCTTCCCACGTCTTTCCCTTTCCTGCAACTCTGAGCAGGACCACCAGGGCATAAGTAGACTCTGAGCACTGTTGTACGAAGTTCAGAAAGCTCAGAGGTATCTTGTGTCTGGTACATATTTATCATCTACCCTCCCTACACTGAAACAAGGTGGGACGGATGAAAGGCTGTATCACCACTTACCTCACTGGGTGGGTGAGTGGATATTATCCCGCTGAAAAGGAACAAGCTCCTTCTTTAACCAGGTCAGCACGTTATCACTTAGATAAGAAAAGCTACTCTTAGAACAGCAGGTTGAAAAGTTCACTATCCTACGTGTAGTTTATTTTTATGCTCGTGGCTCATAAATGTATAAATGTGTCTTATGCAGCACATTTTCCCTCCCAATGCACACTGAAACTGCGGGTGTGTTCCTCTAAACATGTGTCTGCTAGTATGTTCCTGCATGTGCGTTTGACCGACACATCCCATTGCCTCTATAGGTCCCTCTGTGGAGCATGAGGTGGGGGGGTGTAATGTTTGTGGCACCCAGGTGGTGGACGTCTCCTTAGACAGGCCTGCTTCACCCACTACCACCACTGCCACCATTTTATTAAGGGCTTTAGCTAAATGGTGAAGATATTCTTATTTCTCCCAGTGTTATATCCATTTGTATCCTTCCCTTGGCAGTTGAAACGTGTTGAGGATGCACTTTTTGAATGTGTTTTGCTCTATTGCAATGCCCTCTTTTGTTCTTTTGGGGACTTTTAAAAGATTTTTATGGATCTGTGCTCCTTGGAGGTCCCTTTGAGGGTAGAAAAAGGGGCGACAAAAAGTAGATATACCCCCACCCCCAAACCCCAAAGGGGCAAAGACTTTCCAGCCACACAGTCTCCATGCCTATGCATAGGAGAAGTGAAATGGCCTCAACAGATACACCTGAAAAGGAATTTTCTGACACTTCAGGAAGCAATGGATGCAGCAGGAGGTGATTATAAGGCATCTTTGTTGGTACCCAGTGGTGGCTGATATCACTGTTCCTCCTGATCCGCTCTCACTGACTTCTTAGCTGGGCGGCGCCTCTACTGTTGTGGAAACCTTGATCCTGGATCTAGCGGACAGCTTCCTGGCTTTTCCACTGCAATGACAATCTTAGGTCCAAACCAGACCATTTGCTTGGTAGGTATTTAGATCTACTGTAGTGCTCCGTCGGATTATTCACAGATATCTGTTTGGCATTGCATGAGCTTTTCTGCATCTCTGTATCAGCAAGATTTGTTTTCTGAGGGGTCATTGCAAGGGGTCATTGCAATATGGACCTAATTTACTCATCTGGTTGCCAGGGCGATAAAATACGTTGAAATATGCATCCTGGCAACTGGGACGTACAATAGTTTAAAAACATGTGTATTCTGTTGATCTAGGATTTTCTGTTTCTTGAAGCAGAAAGCTTATGGGCTGATCCAGAACCAAAATTGGACAAAGTGCATCCTCCCTTATATGGCTAAACTACAAATCCCATAAGCCCTAGTCAGTGCAGACAATGATGAAGTAGTCTGGGAGTTACAGGCCTGCTCTCTGTTCTTTACCCATTTCTCATGTCCCCAACAAGGGAGCCTAGCCTGTTTTCCCCCCTCCCCGAAATAAAACAAAATCACTCCTCGAGTGGCAGAAAGGAATCCTCACGGGAGAGCTTTGGCGGTTTGGCGTTTGTCATTGTCTGCCCCTTTTGCCCGCTGTGGCCACAGTGCTTGCTTCTTTCACCCTCCGTGCCCTGCTGGGAGGGCCTCCAGCTCATGAATGAAGGACCCAGCGGGTGGGCAGGAAGAAGCCAGCTGATCTGCTCAGGAAGGCAGGATCCACCTTGCCACCAAACGCAACCGGAGACTGAGTAAAAAGGTTCTCTCCAGCTGCCGTTGGGGCTTGGCTGTCCCTTTGGGGCTTGGAATGTGAATGGCTGATGAAACCCAGGAGGAAGGCCTGGAGAGATGGCTGCCTGCTTTGTTTCTTCCTCCTCCTCCTCCTCCTCCTTGATTATTTAAAAGGCAGGTCAGGTTTCTCAATCTGGCAGGCATGCAAAATGCTAGGGGGGGGTTGGTGGTGGTGGTGGAGGAGGAGGAGGAGAGGAAGAAAAAGACTGCAGCTCTTAAAATAGAAACAACCCTCTTTCCCTCTTTGCTTTTCTCTCCCTCCCTCCCTCCCTCCCACTGGCAAGACAGATTCTCTCATTCTCCTGCATATTGTCCCGTTGTTTCTATCATCGCCCTTTGGGCTTCCATGTGTTCATCCCCTACCTGCCCATGTTCAGGATGGTTCTGATTGATTGCCCTTGAATCACTCAGTAGCCAACCTGGATTAATCCTTACGCCCAATAATCTACAGGGCAGAGTTGGCTCCCACTCAGTTCAGCCCCACAATCACAAACTGATTGCACACACTCTATCTTTTATTCCTTTTTACTAAGGACAGACCCATTTTCTTGTCTCTGGCTCTTACTATCTTCATTTCAAGAGGCAAAGTTGGGGTACTTTTTTAAACAAAAATGTTAGCATACTGGCCCCGGAAGTCTTGAGAGATCATCTCCTTTTCCTCCTGGATCTTTCTTAGCTTGCCTCTCTGCTGGGGGGAGGGGGTTGACTCTTGGTCTGCATGCCTAAAGTATTGAGTGTCACACAAAAGGGAACACAACATTTCCTTGCTGTTACACTTTGCCAACAGCAACGCAACT